GAGGATAATACGCCATGGAGTTGTGTTCTTCACTATCTGCAAAGTTTTTATAATGTCCTTTTGACTCAATGATTAGAATACGGATTGTTCGATATTAGAGATAAACAATATATGAGGATTATAGGTTTTGTTTGACCTCTGATTCCACTTTCAGAGTTGTGATGGTTAGAAGCGAAGCTTAATAACTTGTGTTTTGATTGCACAAATAGAGATTGTGATTGTGAAACAGCTATAATCATTATCAGTTCACTTCCTCTTCTTCACATTTTTTTATGGACCGAAATGGAGTTTGCATATATGCTTTTGAATGTGTGATGATCATGAATAATAGGGTCTTTCTTGTTCTTCTCAACTACTGAAATGCCAGTGCAAAAGTATCACCATCTTACTCTGCTTTTGCCCACCTCAAACTGGATTATGTGTTCATGCACAAGTTAACAAGGTACTGCTAAATGTGAAGAGTAAAGACTAAACATGTATGCTAAACTTATGAATTGTGACTTGTACTTCAAGCAAAGTCACCACTTTTGAGGAATTATACAAACAGTCACAAAACGCATGAACCAAACTGTTATTTCATGTAATCAAGTTTCTATCAATTATTACATTTCTCGACTAAAGAACTGATAATGGAACTCAATTCAAAACCCTAAAAACACTTACTTCCTACGTTTCTCTCAAGAAACAAAAACCCTAACTATATGATCCTTCAAAACCCTTGATGATCTCCACACAAACTCTTTCTACATTTTCACTTGAACAAAACCCTAAACCAATCCTTGTAAAGAACCCTAATCCAAATCATCGAAAGCAGCCTTAGAGATCCTCTTACTGACCTGTTTCCTCAAAGAAAGTCTTGTAGTGTCAATAGCTAAACAAATCTCACGACTCAATATGTGCCTAAACATCCAAACCGTAATGAAATCACAAATCTCCTTAAGCTCATAATCTTCAACGAATTTTCTCCATCCCAACGTCAAATCAAGCTCGTTCTTCTTCTTCTCATCAGGCCACATCTTCATCTCATGAACTTTCCCATCTGGACCATACACAGAAACCCTAATCCCATCTCTTGAAATCTCTGTTTCTTCAAGTAAAGGAAGAAACTTTTTCTTCACTTGCGATTTCGATAACCCTAGCCTGCTCTGTTCTTCGTCTCTCTTCGTCATTTGCTTACGAATCGGTTTGCTGCATTGCTCTATCAAGTTTTGGTTCACGATCTTTTCCGGTGGTGTCGCCGGAATCTTCCATCGGCGAAGTAAACTCAAAGTTGCATCGGAATCGTCTTCTTCCATGTTGTATTTCGCTTCGATTCTCTTCTTCTTGAGCCACTCTTCTTTCTCAGCTTCGTGTTTCTTCTTCTTAATCCATCGTTGTTTCTCGTTTTCGTCTAACCATAAAACAGAGTCCAAGCTTTTCTCTTGATGCTCTGTTTCTTCGTCGTCTTGATCTTCTTCCTCTGTTTTTGTCTCTGATTTCACCATCTGTTGATTCCCATCTCGTGTTACGTCTCTTATAAACATGAAGTGGCATAACGCGAACGCAGCTTTAACGATATCGTCTTGTTCTTCTCTTTCTTTGTCGATGTGATCGAGATTTTGTTCTTCGTTCTGATTAACATCTTCGTTAACTTGGGTTTCTTCGTTCAGATCGGTTTCTTCTTCGTTGAGGTCGTCTTCTTCGGGTTCTGGTTCTGGTTCGTTATTAAGGTCGAGTTTGTGCTTCTTGAGATGGGT